TTCTTAATAATCAATTTTCTTCTGTTAATTTTAATATTGGAGTCATTTTAAAGGTAAGAATATTATTTGACTATTTAAAGCATATTTATTTAAAGCACTATTTAATTTTGTTGGCATTTTTTGATATCTTAATAAATTTTAAAATAGACGATCATAWCTTGCTTTAAAACTAAGATATCGAAGAAAAAAATTTTTTTTTAATTTTAACTTTTAAGATCGATAATAGATCGATTCTCTACAGTCTTTAATATTAATAATGATCGAACAAAATTAATTATTATTATTACTGGACATTTTTAATTAGTTAGAGTAATTATTAAAGTGTTATTAGTAAGAGTATAGGTAACAACATATTTTATAACATGAAATTTAAAACAACAGCAAATGCCTTAAGTTTTATCCACCACCCCCTTCAAAAAGATATTCCCTTAACTAGAGTAAGTTTAACTACTTTYAAGATCATCTATAGACTATTTTGTATTGGAGTTGATGAAAACTAAAAGTCTTTGCTTTTGATTTAAATTCTACACTCATATATTGAACATTTTATTTTTCAACTATAGAGGAGTGAAGCTTTTAGAAATAAATATGAAACTGACTGCCATAATATACTTTTTAATATATTATACTATTTCGAAAAGCTAGGTTACAAAGTAAGTCTCCGCTGCAAAATATGTAACACATACTAAAAACTGTTTTGTGTGGCAAAGAACAAATAAAACTGCAGTAAWAACTAACGAAATTTTCACCACACAAGAAAGAAAACTTTKGCTGTGCAATATCGTTTTTGTTTTTTCGMTATTGGAACTAAAAAAAAAGTTTGAAATACACAAAATAATGAATATTGAAACAATAAGAACTTTTTTCATATAATGTTATGTATTGTTCTCCGCCTATATTAATTTGGCGCTTTACTATGTTGTTCATATTTTGTAAGAAGACAACACATACGAGTGTAGCTATCTTTTAAGTCCATCACTATTATACAGGTAATCTTTTCAAATTCCATGTGACAATTGATATGGAAATCATATTGCTTCTATTATCTGGTGCCCACCATTTTCGTCGCAAAAGATTTAAAAGATCATGTATAATCAGCATTATAATAACATACACATTAATGTTATACATCGTAATTGATCGAACGGTAGATCTCAGACGATTTCAAAGTCGATATCCCCATTATTTTAGAACTTTATTATTATTACTATATTATTTAAAAAATATATTTAGTATTCTATATAGTATTTGATTATATACAGTGAAATGGCATTTCTCAAATGAGAGTTTTAAAAGTTGAATACCGAGCTACGATTGTTGATGATAATTTAAAACAGTGTTTTCGTAAAAAGCAGTTAGCAACTATTCACCATATTATAATTAACTGGTCAACGGTTTATATGCAATGACACACTTCTACGCCAACTGTATAATGCAGTTTATTTATTTTTAAATTCTTTATAAATTTAATGTGAAACACACATTTTTTAAATACCTTTACATTTTAATTTTATTTCTCAGTACATTTATCATTATATATTAGCAATGAATAAAGACTTAAAAATATATATTTTTTTTTTTATGTTTTTCGGTGCTCAAAATATACCGAATTTGTTTTGAACATATATATGTCGTATCCACTTAGTGTAATCGTATTTTTCATGAAATGGATATCCATTTCATGAACTACGATCATATCGGGTAAGTCAAATTTTAGTTCATGAAATGGACATATATTTTATCCATTTCATGAAATGAAAACTGTTATTTTACACTTTGTGTAATATTTTAAATTAATTACATCAATAATAGGTAACTTTTCGTGAAATTGAAATCTTTAAATACTACATATTATATTAAACTCTTATTTGTTATGAAAAAATAAAATCAGTTTAAATTAAGTTTACTTTTTAATCTATTACATTACCTATTATAATTATTTATAATAATAATAAAAATAAAAATAAATTATAAATTATAACTTATTTTTACAAATATTAGTGTTATGGCAACGACTGTTACACTTTACAGAAGCTTTAAAACAAGCACATCGTTTTGATTCACATTTACAAGTACAACTTAAAAAACCTTGTCCCCCAGAAATATGAGAAACTGTTTCACATAATGTGAGTTCTTTATCATTATTAACTTCAGTAGTTTAAAAAAAATTAAATGTCGCGGGTTTCAAATTTGCTGAATTGTACCACCCTTTTACTAAACCATATTGAGTTCCGAGTTGGTGAAGTTTATGTTTGTTCTGATTAACAATAACTGCAATTACATTTTTTTAACTGTGGTTGAATTTAGAGATTTTAGAATTTTTTTAAATTTAAAGATTTCAATTTCACAAAAAGTTATCTATTGATGTAATTAATTTAAAATATTACAMAAAGTGTAAAATAAGAGTTTTCATTTCATGAAATGGATAAAATATATGTCCATTTCATGAAAAATACGATTACACTAAGTGGATGCGACATATACATATATATATTTATCTACCTATGCTCAGGATATGTTCAAAACAAATCGGCCACGCCTAATTCTTATTACACTTACAAATATTATAATTTTATACTGACCGGTCAACGTGTTGGCCAACTGCCGCTTTCGGAGGCTCGTTACACCGTCAGCGCCCGTCGGACTGCTCAGCTCGTCCTCGTCCTCGGGTATGGTATACACGTCCGAAACGTTTGCGGAGTTCGCATTGCCTCCATAATACGCTTGCTGTTCGCTGCAATACTGCTCCTCGCGCCTCTGTTGCTGCTGTTGCTGCTGCTGCTGCTGTTGCTGATGCTGCTGTTGCTGTTGCTGCTGCTGCTGCTGCAGCTGCTGCATCCGGGTGGTATCGACGTCGTCCAACAGCACTTGGCCGTTCTCGTCCAGCATGGGCATCGGCCGCAAGTTCATCAGCTCGACTCCRCCTCCGGCCAGACACTCGGCCAGGCTCACGTCATCACTAGAATCGGACCCTGAACGCTCTCCCTGAAGCTGCTGCTGTTGCTGCTGCAGTAGCTGTTGCTGTTGCTGCAACTGTAGCTGTTGCTGCTGGTGGTATTGCTGAGAGTTTCCGCCATCACCGACTCCATACGGCATGGATACCTCGTTTTCCGGCGATACGGGTGACAACTGTTCGTCGGGTGACATCTGTTGTTGGTTGTAATCGTCGAAACCGCGTTGCTGGATGTGCCGCCTGGCCGCTGCCGCCGCAGCTGAATTGTAACCACTGTGTTGCTGATATGACCCGCCGGTGGGTTGCTGATACGCCGAAGTAGTGGTAGATTGTTGGTATGCCGAATTAGTGGCGGGTTGTTGGTACGCCGAAGTAGTGACGTGTTGCTGCTGCTGCGAGTACGGCGACGAYCCTGCACCACCGGCGCCCTCCCTGTGCTGTTGCTGGTAGACGTTACGGTCTTGATACGACGCGTTTTGTTGTTGTTGCACACTACTTTTGCTGTTGTTGCCGTTGTAGTASGAGGTGTCTTGACCACCGGATGACGTGTAACCCCCGTTTGTGGCGTTTTCGCCTCGAGAAGATGACGTCATCGCCATCGTTCTGTATAACACACAAAAACGGATAATAACCAAATGAACAAAAATATAGCGCGAACAGATTGAAAATATTTGAAAAATGATGCAATAATATGATTGGTGAATGTTTATAATACATTGCTTATACTATATTGTTTGAATATTTTGTGGGAATTTCAGGCCTCTACGGTTATTTATTTTTAAATTAAATCAAAATAAAATCCAAATATTTATGGATTAATCCATAACTTTGTGAAAATTCCAGTTTCCCATATATTTTTCTTWCCTATTTTGAAAAGTATTGGGAATTTCCAATCCCATTATTAATTATATATAATTTTCCATCAGAAAATACAGTTAAACTAACCCCAGAAAAACTAAAGATTTTACAAAATTACATTTTTTTTAGGGGGGTGTGGGAGTGTAATAACGAATTTTCATCAGATTCCGGTATAAACCTGAAATTAGGCCCACACCTCAAAGATTTAACACTATTTTGCGCCTATTATACTGGTTAACATGAAACCCATAGATTTTTTTATTTTAAACATGTTGATTAGAAGATACATACTTAGTTTTGTATGTACCTAACCATTTTTTACGGCCCAAGTTCAGCTTTTTTATTTTAGTCATACAATAATATTTATTGTCTAGGAATCGTTTTAAAATCAAAATTGGCAGTGTAATAATTTAATATTAAATATTTATTCATAACATTTACGCATTACTCTTCGTTTCGTCAATTCGTTTAGCATTTATAAAATATTGTCTACATCAATATTCGTTAGAATGAAATAAGTCTCGAAGARGAACATAATATCCTGCACTGGGATCAATAAAATTTGATACCTTTTTTAAATTAAGTTTTTCCCGAAACATACTCAACCAATTTTACTCATATTAACCCGAATAGAATAATTTTGAATATCGAATTGAATTTTTATTCCCGTTGTTTGAAYAACTGAATACCTGCATCCATCACTAGACACCAGAAACTCAAATAAAATATACGATTTGGATGCAAAGCCCTTATTATGCCTGCACGCACGAGTGTAAAAAAAATACCATACTTGCTGCTTATGTGTATATTTATGTTTGAATTAACACCGCCAAAGGTGGTACCTACACGTGTAATCGAATAAAACGCGTCAAACATAATCATAGAGTTTTGTGTTTTTTCATTTTTTTCATTTTTTTTTTTTTATCATTTCAGTATTATTTTAAGTGCCGTTTTATTGATTAAGCCGTCAGCAGGTGGCCCTATGTATTGTTGCGCCTAATTTCGTTTTCTTCGGAATATTTAAATAAACATGAGCACGCAAACAAAATAATAAATATGTAACTCTATATATTTATATACGTTTTCGTCGAAAAATTAGCAACCCACACGAATCTTTTGTCCTTTGCGCTGTCTTGAAGGGCAAACGTAAATTGCGTCCAACGAAGGGAAAAAAATTGTAAATTGCACCCGGTATTTTTCAGCTATAAATTTTTGTATAATAAATTGCACCCGGAGTTTGAGTTTTTCAAGCATAAATTTCTATGCAGTAAATTGCACTCGATAGAAATATTATTTTTATGATAGTTATTCAGCATTACTCAGAGGACACTACAATGAGGCGGGCTATCACAGTCCTCCAAAAATATTTTTATGGTTTGCTTGGTTAGTTAATAAAAAAAGAACTTTTTTTAAAAATATTATGGTATTAACAATAGTTTTGTATATTTTTTTGTTAGGTTAAAAATTTTRAAGATAAAAATTATAGTTATAAGTTATCTGCATAGTAATAAGACATAAACTTCACATATTCAGCCCTTATAAAAGTTTTTACATTGTATTGTTGTGTATGTAGGTAATGAATAATTATCCCATTTTTAAAATTTTTTTTTTTTATAGGTACTTGGTGTTTAAAATTTATACGGTTTGTTTACACTATTAATTTTTATATAAATTTCAGATTGTAACTTTAATATTTTATCCAAAAAATTATAAATATGAGGATGAGATGTATAAAAGATTTAATTAAAATAAGTGTGGAAGGATCCACAAGCATTAGTTKTCACTGTTAACGTTACARGAGCTGTTGTCCTAATATTTGAAGAAAAATCAGCAAATAAAATATAATATGTATTTAAAATATAGCAAGAACATTTTCTAAGTTGATCATCTTCAGGCATCGTAGGCATTAACTCATAGTTACTATAATCACAAACATTTTACTATGATCGAAATTAACTATACCCATTTTAGGTATTCCAAAAAATTCTGGGGATTCACCATACCTATTTTAGAAACATAAAAATCCCAGGCACAATTTACTGTAGTACTTTTACTACCTGTTTAATGAGGGCGTAATTTTCAAGMGCCCATCTTGAAACGACAACTATTGGCTTTTTGGTTGTAATTCGTTTTCAACCCGGCGGCGGAGACAATGCAATTATAATTATTATTATAGTCTATAGGTAGAAGAAGTTTTGTTGAACAGTCGCCAACACTGTTCAAGAGAAAAATATACCCTCAGAGGTAATTCACAAACTGAGTGATTTTATTATAATTATTTTTTTTTTAAACCAGGTAAGTTAATATAATAATATACATTAATGAGAAAAATTCAAAAGTTAATWTAATTTTTGGTCAAATTAGTCAAGCTGCAACCTATTCAAAAAGTGAATTAAATGAAAATAAGTTTTCATTTAATTAAATACAATATAACGTGCAATATTGGTACCAATATAGGCTATACTTAATTTTTTTACCAACTCAAACCTATATTAATCATAGTGTTTTAATAATATTTCCGAGAAAAAATTTTCATCGTTGAAAAAAAACAATTCATACCAGAAAACATAAGCTGAAATATTTTTCGACATGATAACGAAAACGGTTGAAATATAATGAAATAAAATTTAAAACAAAATAAATTGCTTACCTTCTTGAAATGAAAATTTAAATTGTTGTTTTCGCGTTAATTAAAAAACAATTAATTCAAGTCAGTCGATGGAAAGTATAATGAATTAGTTAAGTCAAAAAGCAAACTTTGTGATTTACATAAGYAGGTGAACACCTACGTTCTACGTTTCATTTGCACATGGCTATCTTCAATCATACATTTTATAATGAATATTATTATTATTAAAATATAAGTACAATATTTTTTTTTGTCGATATGACGTTTAGTTTACTCACTACGATATCAGTGATTATAAACATATGAACCTAAATATGGTAAAAATATGTTCTTCACAGAATGTGAAACCATATTCTAGTAGATATAATCATATTATAAAGGTATTCGAAGACCTMGGATGTTTAAACGGTGTCCGCCTGGTAAAAATTAAAAATATCTTTTTAAAACAATAATGTCTCAAACTCTCAATCTATGAAAACCTTTGTGTATTTTGCAAATATTTCTCCGGTATCAAAGTATGATTTACGTCTTCATAATATGATTGTAGTCATGTATGTATTCTATGGACTTTAAATTAGTATAATATGCAGCTATATATACTATTGATACTACTAAGTCGTTAGGATTGCATACACGTCAAGTATTTAAATAATATAATAAATGAGAGAATTAAAAAAAAAAGAGAAAAAAAATTACTCTTATTTCTTATAGACAATCAAATTTATATAAAAAGTTAATACAAATCAGCTGGCCAACCACCGTGAWAATTATTGCCATTTCGGTTGATTGGGTAGAGTGTTTGTAAATATCTACCTTGATTAGCTTAAACTGAACGCCTAAACTCTTACATATTAACACGCTATACTGCCACAACATATACAGAACTAAAAGATATCAATCAATACACCATGATTTTTCAGTGAAAAATATTTCAATTGACCAAAGGCTTGAATTCRCTGCTATTACTTCTTCCTGTTTAAACTACATTTTATGTAATATTTTATCKATGAAATATTTTTAATTTTCTATTTTCGATTAAAATCTCGCACAATGCAGTAAAATTTAATATTAAAAATTACCTGCTCATAAGTATATGTTAACAAGATATAAGTACATTTTTAACAAATAAATATTAACGATATTTAGTTAGATACAATTCATCTGATTACATTATAATTTATAGAGGTAGTTTGATAAATTATTTGATCAAATATAACTATTATGTTATAATCGTCTCGGAATTATCAGAGATATACTACAAAAATGCACCCAAGACACAGGTGTAGCTAAATTGCCTAACCGAAATGCCGTGTCACAATATTTTTACAATTGAAATAAATCAATAAAAGTAAAAAAAAAAGTGGGTAAGTGAATAGTGGATATCACTCTGCTGTAGAGTACCTTACAAGTAGATTACTCTTGTGGATGATATTAAATTTGAATTCAATGAAATAATACTATTGTATACGAAAAACCATTCTCAGTGGAGACGGTTCGTCAGTCTAGGATAATATGTTATATACTATATTAATTATTTTGTTATAAAAAAATATTAAGATAGCTATTAAAATAAATAGAGCATCGTAAGTGGATGTCACTTACCTACGTTTTTTTACTTATATTTCAATTGTAAAAATATCGTGACCCGGCGTTCAGGATAGGCAATTTAGCTACACCTGTGTCTTGGGTGCATTTTTATAGTATATCTGATAATTCCGAGACGATCATAACTTAATAGTTATATTTGATCAAATAATTTATCAAACTACCTCTATAAATTATAATGTWATTGAATGTATTGAATGTAACTAAATATTGTTAATATTTATTTGTTAAATATGTATCTTGTTAACATATACTTATAAGTAGGGCCCGGATTTATATGCAATATCATAAGTTATAAGTTATAAGTAATAAAATAACTAATAAAATATGATATGGTAAATATTTGAGAAGCAGCAACTTTTTCGGCTCTGCAACATTTTCTGTTGTGAACATTTTTTATYTATCCTTCGAACGAATTCGATAACTACAGTACATTTGATAAAATTTTAAAAATAACTAAATTATTGGAAACGAACGGAATAACCTGTGCGTCGGCAATAGTAACTAAAATGTACCTACTGTTTGTTTTCTTTAGCATATTCATTATTCAATACAATTTAGTTTATTTTCATTTTATATAAAATAGGTATGCTTGTAAATAGCACTTAAAACTCAAAATTAACAAAATAGCACTAAAAATCACAAATATGCAAATATTATCAAAATAAAATTTCGTATATGACATTAGAGAAGTTTAAAACAATTTTGTATTTTACTCTGAATGTCCTAAGACCAACCAATAAAAATATGCATTTTCTAGAACTTCCGAGCCCTGGTTATAACTATAGAATGTAATAATTATATAACCACCACTGTTTATGAGGTCCCACTAATATTGGTTTACAATTATTATGATTTAGGAAATACTAATAATTTATATTTATTAAAATCTAATATATTATACTATTTTTATGAAGTAAAATATTTAAATTGAAAACCTTTTTGGTACGGTCACCTGGGAAAAGATTTTTTAATATTTGAATTGTGTTTCCTATTTATATTACTTATTGTTAGAAATTTTTACATCTGAAATAATCTCCTGATTTTTTATATAATAAGATATCAAATTCACTAGTTATCTTATTTTTTTTTTTTAAGTTTTGAAAATTAATGTTATTTTAATAATATTAATAATAATAAATAACAATAATAATAAAAAAATATAAAAAAAATATTATMGTTTTAATAATATAATTTTAGTATAATTTTAATTATACTTGTAAAAATAAAAATAAAAAACAATTGCACAACTACAAAATCATTAGGATGCTCAGAATCGCAATGTGGTGAGTTATTACTGTATTTATCAAAGCTCAAGTACGTAGAATCGGTTTTATAACTCAATAGCGAAGTGTTACATATTTTAAGAAAAACCACGTGACAAAGTATGTCACTAAAAAAAATTCCGGATTCATTCGAACAGTGTTTTTATAATTAACCACAAATAGACGAATACAACGTATTAAAAATAATATTACACCCAAACAATGTAGAGAATCGAACGATTTGTTTTAATGAGCATGTATCAACGCAAGATGATATTTTAATTTTAATGACTCATGATTAAGGTATAGCTGCAGGTTATGTACATTCACACAGTATTAATCCTTTCAGAGCTAAATTATTGTTTACATTGCCACCACTATTTTAGTTAGTATGCAAATTTGGGAACCGTTGAAATCCGTGATTCGAGGAATACTAGTTCATCCAACCACAACATTTAATACCCAAAAAGACGTAACACGCCTATGTTAGGTTTAAGTTTATAATGCCAATATAAATTCTGCGGGTTACCTGGTCATTGTCAAATGCGGTGGCGCTACCGGTGTGATTTCCGTGGCGTCCATGTTCTTTGCCTTGGCCATGACGTTCTGGATCAATGCGCGCTCCTCGACGCTCAGGTGGCTCAGGTCCAAGCTCAACGGGTCCGGATCGGCAGTCGAGGTTTCTAGTATGCCTGTAAAATAAAAAAAACACATACAATATTACGGAAATTATATAATAATAATAATAATAACACTGCGCGATAAACCACTATAATAATTATTAGTAAGAAGATGCTTTTTATTTGTATATTTGAAATGGCACACACAAAATAAACATCAACTTAAAAATTACTTTACTTAGAAAGTCTTTCATATAATTTTTTCAATAA